GAGCTCAACAGATGGCTTTGTTCCGACAGATCCACCCGTTTGTCATCATTGGTATCAAAACTGTTTTGCAATAATTGTAAATACTTTTTGGTCGTACACTGAGTGAACACTCCCTATGTTTACATTAATTATATTAATAAAACACTTAATTCGTGGATCAGTTGATGCAATACCTGTAAATATAGTTCATTTTGTTGGTGTCCGCCGTTTGCGCGCATTTGCATCACAATCTGTCGGAACAGATGCCGATAGTTGTCGATCGCGAAGAGATCTGATTTGGCCATAAATGAGTTGCGAACGGCCAGCGAGTGGTCACAAGTGGCCACTCTTTGAGAAGCGTTGGCGCAGACAATCGACTCCAAGCGCGACCACTTGTCCGACGACTGACTCATTAGAGTTATCTTCTCGTTCGTCGTCTTCATCACAGCGTTTCTCAACGATATATCTGTCCATTCAATCAATCAATGAGTGAATCAACAAAAGTAATAATCAAAATGGCGATCACATACAGGAGGGAAGCGCTGGCGCTGTAGTGACCAATAGATTGGTGACCAGAGTGTGACAGAAGTCAATGCCGAGACAGAGGTCGCACTTCTTGAGCTCAGACAAGTCGACCAGTTTCTTGTCGTACACGCCCTCAATGTCGATGATATTGGTGTCAATTGTGGTCAACAGACGCCACGTTAGATCGTCGGCGGCTACGGGCCTGTCGTCAACGGCCGACTCCTGAGCCGACGGACTGTGACGGCCATCACTGCCACCGCCGGCGCCTCCACTGCCGACCCGTCTCCTGGCGTCCAATGAGCGCAAATCGGCGGTCAGTCTCTTGTGATTCCAATAGAGGACAACAATCAACGCCACCAGAAGACAAGTGATGACCAGTTTTCGGCGCCACTGTCTTAACGTCATCGTCGGTCAGTGTATGGGATGTGTACAGTGTTTACCACGGGTTCAGCCCTGCCATCAATTGGGCAAAACACTTGTTCCGCTCATTCAAAGACATAGCGCTGTGTGCGATGGCATTGTCACGATTGCCTCAACAGATCCAACCTATGCTACACAACATTGGGATCAGTTGACAATAAACGGTTCTTTGTTATCGCTGTTATAACTCTAAACCTCTTTGTTTTAGTGACAATACCTCTGCGGGGAGTCATCCGACGGCGTGACCAACGCGTGGTGTGTTTGAGTCGACTGTTGTTTTGGCCACAAATTGGCGGACAAAACAAAGACAATTGAAGTGTCAAAACACACCACAAATCATGTGTTAAAACATATGCCAAACAAATGCCATACAAAACAATAATAAACTTTTACATGAAATTATATGACATTTCAATATCATATTTATTATGCAAATCAACACTAATTACGGCCTTTAATAATCACAACAAGTCATTCAACTTTTGCCTCGTATTCAATGGCCTTTCATATAAAAGGGGGACAAATATAACGCTATATTAAGTGACGTTATTTATGGCAAAATATATAACACTTTGAGTACATGTATAGTGAGTGCCATCTGATGGCCACAACACGTGTGTGTGGTTTGCGTTGAGTGTTGTGTTTGAGTGTGTGTTTTGATTGTCTTCATCGGTAACCACACGTCACTCTCTCGCGGCTCAGACAATGTCGTCGGCTTTGGATCAGTTGGAGACCAATCTGGAGTCGCTGACCGAGAATGTGCGACAACTGGGTATAATCGTGTCAGACTTCCAGCCCCAGGGTCAGGGACAGACCGCTCTCAACACCAAACTGTATGTATTGGCAGTACTATTGCCATCACTCGTGAGGGCCGCGAGTGCTGTTGACACACACTTACCATTCAATTGTTGCAATAATGTGATTGTCTTTTTTTTATCGCTACGAATAGTAATCAAATCGTGACATCACTGCAAGACATCGACCGCATCAAGAATGACATGACCGGCAAAAGCAGTGACATTCAGGTCCCGCTGGAAGTGTTTGAGTGAGTGTTTTTTTCCCAGAGATAATGATTTGTCACTTTTGGTGGCCATCCAATTGATCCATTGGTGATGTGTTATAATTGGTGTTCTGATTACAGGTATATCGATGAGGGAAGGAATCCACAGCTCTATACGAAAGACTGTATGGAGAAAGCGCTGCAGAAGAATGAGTTAGTGAAGGGAAAGATCGACTCTTATCGGGTCAGTACCACAGCTATAGTCTTGTACTGTAATCGATGTGTCCATTGAAACGAATCGATGACTAATTTGATGATTGTATTAATAATTGTCTTATTATTTGCATTTTGTTGATCAGAGATTCAAAGCCATGCTTTTGGTTGAGTTGTCGAAAGTGTTTCCCAACGAAATCAGCAAATATCGGGCCGTTAGGGGCGACGAAAGGCCCTCCAACTGATCACTCGCTTTTTACCGTATTGATTAAACATGGGATAAACGTGGGTTAGTGTTATCCCTTCCGATGGCATCGACTATATTTGGTGTCACAAAAAAACCATTTAATTAATAAAATAAAATTGTGTATTAAATGCCCAATATANTCTCTCTCTCTCTCTCTCTCTCTCTCTCTCTCTCTCATGTAAACCATTTTTATAATTGTAATTATAATTTATATATTAATTAAAATAATAAATTTATTTAGTACCATAAAACAATTTGCAACACATTAATGACATCTATAAATTATAATCAATATTAATTAGTGCGTTTTTTGGGTTAAAAATCAATATAAATTTGCTTAAATTAAATTAATCTCTCATTAAATGCTTAATTAAATGCAATTATTTCAAACATAGCATATCGTTACAAGTTATAACATAATACTGTTTGGTAGAAAAAACCGACACAAGTGAATACTTGTGCGTAAAACATGATAGCCTCAGACCTTTACTGTATTTTTTAATTAAGTCTAAACCAATTAGGCATCTAATTATTAATTAAAACATGATCAAACATATACACAATGTATATAATGAAAACATTTATAATTTTATTTGTTATAAATGTATCGTTTAATGTATTATTTAATAATTGCGAGGAATTAAAACCTAAGGATTTAACAGTTAAGGTATTTTGCATTTTTTCTTAACTCTTGTTTGAATTTAATAATTGTTTTGATTTCGAAATAAATAAATAATTCAATTAAATTACAGTTAAATGTAAAGTCAAAAGCATTTAATTGGTGTAAAATCACTAAAATCGATGACAAGAAACATGTTGTTAAGGTATTTATGAAATCCATTAATGTATTAACGTATGGATAATACCATATAAATTATATGATATAAATTTTGGCGTGTATTATAAAAACTAGAATCAAATGCTAGCCCTTCTGCTTCATGACCACACTTTCAATAATTAAATAATTAATTATAAAACAATAATTCCAATAAACCTTTTCACTATAAAAATCGTGGTAAATATGAAGATCTTAAACAATGTTATGCTATTCGTGTTTAGGTCGAGAGTATATTCAAGCCGTACCGGTATATGAAGGCCTCTAAGTTTGTGCAGCATCTGGTGCTATGGGTGTGTCGACACCCGGACCCGAGTATATTTGATCAGCACTCGACCTCCCGGGGCGTCGACTGTACGGACATGAGTGACTTGCCCTCGGAGTACAAACACTGTTTCAACATATTCTTCGTGTTGGACAATCCGGACCAGATCTTCGAGAGCGGCTACGATAACGCGCTGTC